TCTTTCACTACCTCATTACTTTCAGCATCTCTCCCTGCTGGACTGCCAGTTTTTGGATAGCTTCACTTAAACTTTCCAGTGTTAACCGTGTTTGGGGCAGGGCCTTTTCCCCAGTAGTTGCACTGACTAGGCCCCCACTCCGTGATCGGGAGTTAGGTTTGGCGGTTTCTTCCAAACGAGCCTCCTCTTCTTCTGACCACATAATGGCAGCCTGCATGAGTTCAGGGAACTTCTTCCCAGGCTCTTCCTTCAACCTTCTCTTCATTTCACGGCGGAGGGAGTCATTCCGGAGCCCCAGCACCATCTGTTCTTTCAGCGCCATATCTGCATCTGAAACTCGTTGAGGGTCTCGCCGCTCCACTTTGCTCATTCTCTCCTGGAGTTCATAGGCATATGCCCGGATAGTTTCACCAGGCTCCTGCTTTCGCTCAAAGAACTCCTTTAGCCGGGTTCCAATAGGTACCTTGTCTCCATACACTTCTAGGAGGAGTTCAAATACCTTTTTCACATCTTTCTTGTCTGCCATTGCCATAAACTTTACTGTGGCCTTGGCCTGGCCCTTGAGGTGCTCCTCTATGAAATCCACATGATCTTCTTCAGGTATTCTTAGCACATGCAGAGCTGCCTTCACAGACTTCACCCACTCCTCTACCGTAATGTCTCCTGGCCTAGTTGGGAAGCCACCAAACTCTGCAACCTTCCGCTCCCGTGGGACATAAATAGTAGGGGGTTTCTTAGCTTCTGCTGCCTGTTGGTCTATAACTGCCTTGGCCAGTGATAAGGCTTCTCTATGCTCAGCTCTAGCTTGCTGTAATGCCTCACTTTGGTCTGATAATCTGCGCTGAATTGAGGAGCCTTTGGCCATTATCTTTGAAAAGTCGTGGAGATCGGGCGAAATCCCGGATGATTGGAAAAAGGCAAATGTAGTGCCCATCTTCAAAAAAGGGAAGAAGGACGATCCAGGGAACTATAGGCCGGTCAGTCTTACCTCGGTTCCTGGAAAAATCATGGAAGGGATCATAAAGGAGTCCATTTTGAGACACTTGAATGAGAGGAAAGTGATCAGGAATAGTCAGCATGGATTCACAAAGGGCAAGTCGTGCTTGACCAATCTGATTAGCTTCTATGATGAGGTAACTGGCTCAGTGGACATGGGAAAGTCAGTGGATGTTATATACCTTGACTTTAGCAAGGCTTTTGATACGGTCTCCCACGATATTCTTGCCAGCAAGTTAAGGGAATGCGGATTGGATAAATGGACGGTAAGATGGATAGAAAGATGGCTAGAAGGCCGGGCCCAGCGGGTAGTGATCAACGGTTCGATGTCAGGATGGAGGTCGGTTTCTAGTGGAGTGCCCCAAGGTTCGGTTCTAGGACCGGTTTTGTTCAATATCTTTATTAATGACCTGGATGAGGGGATAGATTGCACCCTCAGCAAGTTTGCAGATGACACTAAGCTAGGGGGAGAGGTAGATACGCTTAAGGGCAGAGATAGGGTCCAGAGTGACTTAGACAAATTGGAGGATTGGGCCACTAGAAATCTCATGAGATTCAACAAAGACAAGTGTAGAGTCCTGCACTTGGGACGGAAGAATCCCAAGCATTATTACAGGCTGGGGACCAACCAGCTAAGTAGTAGTTCTGCAGAAAAGGACCTGGGGGTTACAGTGGATGAGAAGCTGGATATGAGTAAACAGTGTGCCCTTGTAGCCAAGAAGGCTAATAGCATATTAGGGAGCATTAGGAGGAGCATTGCCAGCAGATCCAGAGATGTCATTATTCCCCTTTATTCAGCTCTGGTGAGGCCACATCTGGAGTATTGTGTCCAGTTCTGGGCCCCCCACTACAAAAAGGATGTGGACGCATTGGAGAGGGTCCAGCGGAGAGCAACCAAAATGATTAGGGGGCTGGAGCACATGACCTATGAGGAGAGACTGAGGGAGTTGGGTCTGTTGAGTCTGCAGAAGCGAAGAGTGAGGGGGGATTTGATAGCAGCCTTCAACTTCCTGAAGGGAGGTTCCAAAGAGGATGGAGAGAGGCTGTTCTCAGTAGTGACAGGTGGCAGAACAAGGAGCAATGGTCTCAAGTTGTGGTGGGAGAGGTCCAGGTAGGATATTAGGAAAAACTATTTCACTAGGAGAGTGGTGAAGCACTGGAATGGGTTACCTAGGGAAGTGGTGGAGTCTTCATCCCTAGCGGTGTTTAAGTCTCGGCTTGACAAAGCCCTGGCTGGGATGATTTAGTTGGGATTGGTTCTGCCTAGAGCAAGGGACTGGACTTGACCTTCTGAGGTCTCTTCCAGCTCTATGGTTCTATGAGTCTATGACACCGATCTGTTTCCTTCTGGGACACAAGAATCAAATCATCTTAAAAAAGGTGATTTTATTAACAAAACCAAAAAGACATACTTGACAAAGCATACTTGGTTGCTAGGAGTTACAGAACAACTAAGAGCAGATTAAAACACAAAAGAAAAAAAAAAGCTACCTCTGGGCACAACTTAAATAGTGAATGTGGGCGTGGCAGCTGAGGGGGGAAGCACATGGATTTTACACAGAGAAGTTTTACCAAACAGCAAAATAAAGAAAAATAAACTGGTTGCAACTAATCCTTTACTCACAATCTATGCTGATCCGTACTTTAAGCCCAGTTCATTCCCATGTTCAATATTTTTTATAGGCATGGTAATTGTGATTACTACATCTGCTCCCGCCAGTCCTTAGAATTTTCTTACAAAGAGAGCAGGCAAGGTATCTATATAAGCAATTCAGATTTTAGCACTGTATCCCATTGGCTCTTCTGGCCCCCTGCCAACACCCTTGCTGGCTACCTATGTTTCCCCCTTTAGTCACTGAGGGTATGTCTACACTACCACCCTAGTTCGAACTAGGGTGGTAATGTAGGCAACCGGAGTTGCAAATGAAGCCCGGGAAATTCAAATCCCGGGCTTCATTTGCATAAAGCCGGGCACCACCATTTTTAAATGTCCGCTAGTGCGCACTAGCGGACATTTAAAAATGGTGGTGCCCGGCTTTATGCAAATGAAGCCCGGGAAATTCAAATCCCGGGCTTCATTTGCATAAAGCCGGGCACCACCATTTTTAAATGTCCGCTAGTGCGCACTAGCGGACATTTAAAAATGGTGGTGCCCGGCTTTATGCAAATGAAGCCCGGGAAATTCAAATCCCGGGCTTCATTTGCATAAAGCCGGGCACCACCATTTTTAAATGTCCGCTAGTGCGCACTAGCGGACATTTAAAAATGGTGGTGCCCGGCTTTATGCAAATGAAGCCCGGGAAATTCAAATCCCCGGCTTCATTTGCAACTCCGGTTGCCTACATTACCACCCTAGTTCAAACTAGGGCGGTAGTGTAGACATACCCTGATTGCTGGCCAGCACTCCTCCTCCATCACATCCCACGCACACAACACATGCACACACATACACAACAGACATATACACCCCACACACAGACAACGCATACACCCCAAATATTCACACACGTATACAAAAGAGACAGGACACACATACACACAAAAGCAAGCAGTCTCACAACACCAAAACATGAAGCCCCACAGCCTCCCCTCACAACATACACAATAACCCCTCCCCCAGCTTTCTGCATTCCCCAAGATGGGGTGGGGGAGGGATTTCACCTGCCTCCCTGACTCAGCTGCTCCCAATATCTGTGGGACCAGGGCAATGAGGAGGGTGTGGGGAAAAGGGGAGGAGTGTGTTGCGGGTGTTGTGAAGTGGAGGGTGCCAGGGAGAGATCCTATGGGGTAGGTAAGGCACTGGGACAATCCCATGGGACAGGGAGGAGGGATGGGGCTAGGTGTAGGTCAGAGGGGAAGGCAGTGAGGGGATACCATGGTGATGGATTTGAGGCAGAGCAGGGTAATCCCATGGGGCATGATGTGGGGCAGAGCAGGGGGAACTTATGGGAAAGGATGTGGGGAGGAGGGATCCTGTGGGGCAGGATGTGGGGCAGAGCAGGGGAATCCCATAGGGCTGGATGTGGGGCAGAGCAAGGGGATCCCATGCAGCAGGACGTGAGGAGATGGGCAGGGCTCTGGCGCTCGTGACACGGGAGCCGGTGAATAGAGTTTCTATTTCACTTCCGATGGGCAGGGGGAACTTATGGGAAAGGATGTGGGGAGGAGGGATCCTGTGGGGCAGGATGTGGGGCAGAGCAGGGGAATCCCATAGGGCTGGATGTGGGGCAGAGCAAGGGGATCCCATGCAGCAGGACGTGAGGAGATGGGCAGGGCTCTGGCGCTCGTGACACGGGAGCCGGTGAATAGAGTTTCTATTTCACTTCCGATGGTGAGTCATGCGGAGTGTGATTCCCCCTGCCCCCTGGCAGCTCCCCCCGCCCTCCACTCAGCCCCCTGCTGCTGCCAGTCTCAGCCCTTTCCCAGCTGCAAGACGGGTATCAACCACCCCAGCATCCCATTCCCGGCACGCAAATAGGTCACCGGCCCAGCGTGGGGCTCACACAGCGCCAGGTTCCTTACAGACCCCCCAAACCGAGGTCAGGGCCCGGCGTGCCAGGTGCCACACAGAACCCCTCCCCCATCCTGCCGGACGCTGCACAGACCCCTCTTTGACCAAGATCGCCCCCCGTTGTGCCAGGCGCTGCCCAGATACCCAATCAGACACGCCCCCTCCAGCCAATCGATATTACTATGCCAATTGTGCAGGTGGGGAAACTGAGTCAGGGGGGAGGGAGACTGGAATTGAGGAAGAGCCTGGAGGAGAGGTGCTAGGAAGGGGCGAGGAATCTGCTCAAATCGGGGGCAGTGGGGGAGGGGAGTTCTGCTCAGACAGGTGGAGGGGAACTGCCCCCCCCAGCCGGAACCTGCCCTGCCCCGGTTTCACCGCCCTCTAATGACTCTCCTTCCGTCCCCATGGCCCCGGGGTGATGTCATTGATACTTACCCCTCCCCGCCTCAGGCTTGTCCCCTCCCCTCTGGCCTGTCCCCTCCCCCATCCCGCCCAGGGCATAAATACAGGTGAGCCGCTCACCTGGCCAGGTAGGCGGCCAGAAAGAGGATTGTAGCTGGCGGGACGCAGCGCTGTCTCTAGGGACCCCCGTCTTTGTTCTGTTCGGGTGGCGCCCCCTCCGGATTCCACGCGTGTTTGTTGTGGTCGCGCGTTCCGCCGTCCCCACTAGATTTCGGGGTGCTTTGATTGGCTCGCGCCTCTCCAGATCCACGAGTGTCTGGGATCCGCGCGTGTTTTTCGTTTCGCGTGGGCGGCGGCCATGGCCAACTCCGGGCTGCAGCTGCTGGGTTTCGTGCTGGCCGTACTGGGCTGGGTGGCGCTGGTGGCGGCCACCATCCTGCCCCAGTGGCGCATGTCCTCGTACGCGGGGGACAACATCATCACGGCCGTGGCCATGTACCAGGGGCTGTGGATGTCTTGCGCCTGGCAGAGTACGGGACAGATCCAGTGCAAAGCGTACGACTCCATCCTGAACCTCAACTGTGAGTGGAGGGGACGTGGGGGAGACCTGG